TTCACCACTTAATTCTACCATTCTCCTTCTAGAAAATTTTTTTTTTTAAAAAGCAAGTTACCTCTTTTATAATACCTTTAACCAAAAAAAGAAAAAAAAATATCTTTTTTTTTTTTTTGTTACTTTTATCTCTTCTCATCTAATATACATTGGAATTTTTTCCTTTCATCATGTCACTGCTATGGTTAGTCGTGCAAGAATCAAATGAAGATGCACAAAAGAGTAGCTATTCGGTGGGCAAATACAAGCCTTAAAGCAAGCAAGAACACAATACTTGTGTAATTTAGTAACTCCAAGATCGACAGCGTCCATGGTTGGCTTCAAAGGTGATCTAAAGACAATGTGAAAAACTACAACTACTGCCTTTCTGATCTGACTTCACCTGTACATGAGGAACTGAATAAACAAAACAATGGCAGACCAACACATGTTTAACATTCATCTCGTTGTGCAAGTAAACATCCATAAATTAACCATGCAAGACATAGTAATACTTGACTTGACAAGGTCCTGTTAGAACAAAAGTTGAAAGAGCCTGATTTAGGGACTGTCTGCAATTGGTGACCTTGTGGAGATAAATTTTGGTATTGATAAAGTAACAATTGACGTGTTAGCTGGTGGGTAATAATAATAATGTCTATTCGTTTGTTACAAATTTCCAGCAAAGTATCTGATTGTCAAAATAATACATGTTTTTTTGTTCTAAAATTAGGGACAAATTCGAAAACCTCCCGGAGGTTTTTGATAATTTTATTGAACCCTCTTGAGATTTCAAAAATTACACCTACATTCTCTGATTTGACACTTTTAGTAACCAAACCTTAAAATAACATTTGATTTGGTCAAAAAATTATATGAATATCCTACGATGCCCTCATATATACTTTTCCAAATGATTGTAAAATAAGTTATCAAATTTTTAAGGCTTAGTTATCAAATTCTTGAAAAATCTATATTTTTTGTTCAGTAAGCTACTACAACAAAAAATTTTTTTACTATGATAAGCTACTTTTGATGGTGCTTTATTGGATATATAGATTCTTCCTAAGATGAGAAGAAAGCATCACATAATTTTTCAAAGTTTGTGAATTTTTAGAGTATTGGAACTACAATAGGTCGGTAGTGGTTTTAGGCTATTTCTTTTTGAGTTATTGTTGATTTTGATACAAAAGAAAATAAATCCACAAAATCATTTTAATAGGTTATTAATTGAGTATGAAATAAAGTTGGCATTTTGTATACATTATATGAGCAATTAAATAATTATCAAGGTACATAACTATTAAAATAAATGCTTTAAAACTATAGTATTGGAACATCGAATTTTAATTAGTAGGAAAGAAAATAAAAATTTAAAGAAAGTTTTTTCAAGAATTCCTAAAATCACTTTACATTGATACTTACCTTCACTAGTTTTTATAAGTACAGTGGCTAATTACAACAATTCGATGCCCACATGCATAAGACGCAACAATTTGTGTAGTAGCAACTGTATACTTAGATTATAAAACTAGAATTCTCTGTTTCTGCCACTACTTTAAATTTTATTTATTATTGATATATTGTCATCAAATTATAATTTATTTAACAAAGATATGCTATTTAGGCTATGATCATGTTATGTCAATATAAAGTGTTTTAATGAAATTTAATAAAAATATATTTGTCGTATATTTCATTCAATTCACATACCATTTCATCTAAAATGCCCTGGTTGTAACTACTTAAAACCTAAGGGAGCATAATGATTGAAAGTAGGAACATTAGGGACTAAAAATACAAATTTAGAATTTTTGACTGGCACCAATTTGATGTTGATAGTTAGTTATGGTGATTTTCCATTAGTTCTCCTAAATCTCCTAAAATAAAAAAAAAATTAAGGGACTAGATTTGTTATAGTGAAAATATTTGGGACCAATTTGACACACAGGACAAATATGGAACCAAAACTACATTTTTCCGATCAACTTAAACTGGTAGGACAAAATCTTACTACTAGCTATATGACGTATTTACCAAATCAGACCATATCTGTTTTTTGTTTTGTTTTGTTTTAGTCTGTAAAAGCCTAACAGGAAAGCCTTCAGAGCTAAGAAGTCAATAAAGCTTCTTTTCTTCTAACTTAAAACTACGCAAATTAGTCTCATCTCATCTGCTTCTAAAATTTCCAATGCCATGCTAAAACTTCCGGCCCAAACCAGACTTAATTCAGCATCATCAGAATCTACAACAGACTCAATAATGCTAGACAAAACTTCTCTGAGCAATTGGTCAGAAATATATCAGTATATATGCCTTGTGTTAGATGCACTCCATTCCAATGAATAATGCTTTGTGGTCTAAGGCAAGCTTTTACTCCATGTGATGCACAGATCATGTTGTCATTGTAGTTATACTTCCCTCCTCTTCTACAACATGCCTTGAGCAATGATTAAAGCTTGCCTTAGACCACAAATGTTTGATTAAAACCAAGAGAACCAGTCTATTATGGAGGATGCATTGGAAGGATTTATAGGGGTCATAATAGCGAATGACAACTCCTGGGAATTCTAGTCTTGGGGATGCTAGAGTTTTTTGGAAGATAATTGTTGTAGAACATAACAAACTTGTTTAATTAAGTCTTTTAAACAGCCCTTTATCATCATAAACTTTGGGATCAACACTCGGAAATGATGTCAGAAATTTAAGCAAACATCCAGTGGGAATGTTTGCTGGAAGTATTATAAGCCTGGCCCCAAATTGAATTACTTGTAGCAATAGATGTGGCTTCAACAACATATGGCACACAAATCCTCCTCTCCTTTATGGATTTGCCCTGGGAGAATGCATAGTTGAAGTCATCCCCACCTATTTCCCCCATCATGAAAAGAGCTCTTCTTAGCCATTTTTCCCGTTGTAATTGATCATTCAAAACTGACTTGAGATGTTTCTTGAACCATTTGTGCTGATGGCTAAGAGGAATAAGTGTTCGTAGATGGTACAGAAATGTTTCCTCCGTAGAAAAAACTGTTATCTAGTGCTGTACTTCCACCTACTGCAAAGTTGACTCCAATGCGAAATGATGCATTTCTTTCCAGGTAAGGATGAAGCAGGGGGAGATGAAGAGCTATAAATCAATCACAAGAGGGCCATTGGAGAAGCTATCTCTGGGCATATGGAAATATCAACGTAATTCAGTTCTTTAATTACTGTAGGATTCTTCCATTCAAAATAACACTTGCCAAACTCAAAACAAAATTATGTGTTTCATAACACTATAAATTCTGTACTTCGAGCATATTCCTTCAGTCAACCTATGTTTCATGGTGCAATTAGTAGTGTGATCATTCACAGACAAGTCACTAGAGTCTTCTTAACAGTGCAAGAGGATCGACCTGTCTTGTAGTGGTGAGTCTATTCATTTTCTAGCACAAATTAATCAGAGCATGACAAGGCTTTTCAGGATAAAGGGCAAAGGGTAGTGGTGAGTGACAAACTTCACCTTCAAAGTTTTTAAAGGTAGTGCCTTTTCGTTCGAGTTGCTTGCGCGTAGATCTAGCCTATTCATTTGTCCACTTTCCCCTGAAAAAAAAAACAAAATGCCAATGAGAAAAATTGTCGTGCGTCCACCTTCTCTGACATGGAACGACATCCAAAAGACTGAATTCTCAACTGTTAGAATATTTTTCTTTTTAAAACCAAGCTTGTTGTATAATTTATTTCTTAAAGTTATTATTAGATTAAAATAGTTACTAAAGTGATTGCATTGTGAAGAAGTTTTGTTGCCTTCCTTCTTAAAGTTTTAGTGGGGTTTGAAGTTTGTTTCTTTCTATGGTAGATTAGGAAATCTCCCTTTGTGAGGAATACAACTATTAGAGATTTAAACGGCTCGCGATCAGAGGCTCGATTCAAGTTCGATCAAAATCAAACTCGAATCAAGTTTGAGCAACTCATTGGCAAATTCGAGTTGACCAGAAATTTTAGAAAAGTAGATTCGATTACTCGACAAACTTATTCTAGTAATTAGATTTGTTTAATTAAAAATAATATATATATGAAATTACACTTGTAAATATCGAAGTTGTGAAATTTACCACTAAAAAATCAAAGATTGATCTCAAGTTAGCTTGCAAGAATCTTCAAGCTCATACACTACTTGCTCAAGTCGAATTTGAATTTAAGATTCTTTATTCAATTGAGCTCCAGCTCTAGTTCAAATAACATTATTATTAATGATCGAGTTTGAGTTCGAGAACGAGTAAGATATTATTCGAGCTTGACATAGACTCAAATGCACCTCTAGTTTGAGGCTACTCTTTGCCCGTGTATATGTATTGCTACTACACGTATTACTACTACTTTATCGTTGAGTTGTGAGAATAGCGGAAAAGTCTCTGAAGTCTTAACTGCTACTTTATTGTCGAGTTGTGAGAACAGGGGGGAGTCGCTAACATTTATTTGCAATTTCTGTTACCGACGGGTTTTTGGTTAATAAAGCTACACGTATTAAAAATTGTTGCGATACATGACTTTTTTGCGCCAACATCAACCATTTGTTAGTTGGGTCGGGTTAGGGCGCCGGTTCGGATCGCAGGGGATTAATCGGGTCCCGTAAAAATTGACTCGGATATTTTCGTGTCAAAAAAAAAATTTAAACCATTTGTTAAACGAAAAAAAAAAACCATTCACGAAAAAAAAAAAGATGTTACATATATATATATATATATATATATGGGTCAGGCGATACATATTTCAGGTGTTATACTTTCAAAAATATAAAATTAATTAAAAATAAATAAATAAATATAAGAAATGATAGATAAAATTAAATAGAAAAATTATATAAAAGTAATGAAAGATAATAATTGTTAGTATATATATATATATGATTATTAGATGAATACTTCTTTTTTATTGTGTTAGAAAAATCGTATATGTATTATGATATTGATCATCGATAAGATAAGAGCAACACTTGTTTGATTGAGACTTTACACGAGCACTAGAAAAAGCCAAATTAATAAATTGGGAGGACAAATTATTGTAGTCTGTGAAAGGAAGACTTCAGAGCTAAGAAGTCAATTGAGATGAGATTATTTCCCTCTAACTTAAAACGACTCAGATTAGCATGTAGTGGTATTATCTCGTCTGTTTTACATGGAAGTCCCAGAAGAATGGCATCCGTCGGAGTATCTGATCGCGGCAGTGGTCTACTTGGAAGAGGAGAAGGTGGTGGCGCCACTAGTTCCACCGCTGCTAGGCAGCGTTACTATCACTGCTACAACTGCGACCGGACGGTGAAAATTGTTGCTACTAATCAACTAATCTGTCCTAATTGCAACGGCGTCGCTCTGGAAGAATTGGGAACTATTCCTCCTCCACCTCCATTACCTCTCAGGTCCACCAGCTATTTTAATCCCTTCTTCCCTCCCTTCCACACCGCCGGCTTTGAATCCGACTCCGACGGGGAATCAGAGCTCTCCTGCCCTCTACCTCCCCCGCCGCCGCCATTCTTCGCCACCAGCACTGACCACAGTTTCAGTTTCCCCGACCTTCTCCCTCCTCCTCCGCCTCCGCCTCCGCTTCCGCCGCGATCACTGTCAAATCGGTCCACCGTCTCTATAATCTCTGGCCTCGAAATTGATTTTTCCGAGCCTCTTTCGCCAGACAGAGCTCACAATTTCCCAACCCCACCGCCACCGCCACCGCCGTTGCCTCCTATTATCTCCGACAGGAGAGTTCATCGACTTCCTCCTCCTCCTCCTCCACCGCCGCCGCCGCCGCCACTACCTCGACCACGACAATCAGCAGCTCACCATATTTCCCACCGCCTGCCACCGCCACCTCCTGCGCCGGAACCACCCGTGTACAATCCCACCACCGTCGCTATGATATCCGGTCTCGAAATTGATTTCTCCGACCCTCTTCTTGCTGAGGGAGATCAATATTTCTCAACCCCGCCACCGCCACCCCTTCTGTCTACCATCAACCCGAGCTCCGCCTCCACTAGGGAAATCCACCTATCATATCCTCTCCCACCACCGCCGCCGCCGCCGCAGGTGCAATCCATGAACAGATGGGATTATTTTTTCCCTGCGATGCCGGAGCCGCTCGTCCAGGCCGCTCGCATGCCTGCAATTAGCGTGATGGAAGTGGAGGACGAGGATAGAACGGTGTCACTGGATACAAAGAAGATAACTGAAGAAATGTTGTTGGGCTGGGAGTGTCGCTCTCAATGCGCGGTTTGTATAGACAACTTTGAGGTGAATCAAGTAGTAACGCAAATGCCTTGTAAGCACATGTATCATTCTGATTGCATATTTGCCTTGGTTGGCATCTCACAACACTTGTCCAGTTTGTAGGTATCGGTTAAACTAAGTAAATAGTTGAGTTTTTATACAAGAAAATTTTCTATCGAGCCCTTCCAACAATCATGGATCTTTTGTACAATATCAGTTTTAGAGTTGGTTTTGTAAGTTCCTGAAAAATATCATGTATAATAATGCAGAAGAAATTTCTTGGTGATGGCTGATTAGTTTTATCTGTGCACTAGGAAATATTGATGACTATCGGGATCTGATCTATCTTGGCTAAGCAAGTTTGTATATCTGCTCAAATCTTCACTTGAACGTGGAGATTAAGGGTTTCTTTTTGGAGGGTGATCCAAGCTTCATTTTTCTTTTCTGCTAAATTTTCTCTGAATTCAGAGCGATGTCAGAAGGCACAACTTGCCTTGTCGGACAATGTTGGTGATTGAAGTCCGTTTTTTGCCTGATCAAGTCTTGGTCAAGACTTCGATGTTTTTTGGAGCTGTAATGCTGGTGTTACCTGTCACGGTATGTCCTGCTGATCCTAGCTTAAAGCTTTTCCTTTTCTTCGGCACTTGGAACTTTTTAGGTCGATTAAATTTACAGGACAAAAAAGAACATACATCAGCAATTTTGGGAAAACAAAATCTCACACTTGGGGACAGAAAATCGTTTATATTCATCAACACACATGTTTGTAGGATGTGTAGCTGGAGATAAATTTCACTGGCATTGGCTATCATTATTAGCTGAGATGGTCTTTGATGGCAAACTAAGCTCCGTTGTTAAAATTATCTACCAGCAGATAATTACTGGCAAAGTGGCAGTGCACGGCGCTAGTAGTATGACAACCTTCATTTGAACTGCAAGAATAGGAGGGGAGACACAGGCCCACGCGGTTATTGCAAATAAACATGGGTTAGTTGACGGGGAAAGAAGTGAGTGAGATGGAGGGATCCAAGGACTGAAATGGTTTTCTTCCTTGAATTATTGCCATTAGAATTGAGAAGTTTGAAGAAGCAGCAAGCCGAGAAAAATTTTGCCTGTGACAACTTTTCAATTCTTTCTAACCCAATCAAGGTTGACTTGTTACCTTGCGCAGCCACCTCAACCTCAACGAACAGGTGATGAACTAATCATGCAATTCACAGAATGAAGCTTTTTCTTCAAAGTAGTCAATCAACTAATAACTGTTATTTTGTCTTGAAAGGCTGCTGGAACTTTGGTCCCTTTACAGTTTGTTTCACTTTGGCGGTGGTGCTTGGGTCATGCCGGTGAGCTTACCGAGTTGGGACGCGAGTCACTTGGGTCTTAGAAAGAGTTTTGTGTGGTGGTCTTTAGTCTTTAAGACTGGGTCTGCATTTGGCCTCTGATAATTAGTGACATTTGACAACCTGACTTTAACCTAGGTGATGGGAAGATCCATCATGTGGTTCAAAGTCGCAGTTGTGATCGTGGCCCGGACCGTTCTCACATGGATATTGTTGACCATGTCACTCGGACTCTTCCTGTAGCCGTGTCTGGATCTCTATTTTGCATTAGAATTGCCATGTGGGTGGGAGTACTTGGCAGCCGAGTCCAAGTAACATAGATAGATTGTTGATACCTGATGGTATGATATATTTCAACAGTAGTGTATATTGGGAAAATCCTGATGGCTGTATCCGGCTAAAAAGATGATATGATGGAGGTTTCTACTGGATAATCTCTTCTTCTCACCCGTTTGCTCTAGTTCTGTTCTACATGGAAAAACAAAATCCAGCCCTCTTGTTTTGCGTACGTACAGTCGTAGATTGCCACTGCTATTTACCTGATCAACAGTTAAAAAAAAAAAAAAATTAACTCAAACGGCTGTATATAAATGCAAAACAAAACATCCAGGAATTTGAAGAACGAATTTTCGGAGATACAACTGACTCTACCGGAATATTAACCAAGTCGTTTCATTAAGACTTCAGGAGAGAGTTAAAAGGTGTCAAAGAACTACTCCTATTGCGATTTGTTTACAATTCTAAATTTCAAATTTCCATGTAAAAGCAACACAAATGAGACTATTTTTGAAAGGTACAAATGGGGCTATTCTAAGTCTAACTCGAAAGTGTGAACAATTTTGGTGAAGGGCTTTTTGGGTAGGCACAACTTACAAGCACCATAAAATTCCTAATGTGATACACACGTCTCATCTAAACCTTCTAGTACATTCCATTTAGCTCCCCATAGTTAGGGACCTCCTGCAACATGGTGCTGGATTTGAGAGACACAAATTTTTGTGCATCTAAACATTTCAAAGACAATTCCTAAAATCGAAAAAAATATTATCCCCTTTTATTTTTTTTTCGGCTAAAAATAAAGGTTGGTTTAATTAACCTACGACACTAAGTCAACTGCAAATTATGGTTCATATTATCTTTTTAGGGAAAATCGTTCAAAACATCTCTCACATTTTGTAAAATAACTTTTTTCGTTCCTCACTTTTAAAAGTTTAATTTTACGTCCCTTACAAATTTACATTGGTCAAATTTGGTCTCTACCTAGGTTACCGACTAATTTTTTGTCGGAATTTATCACGTGCCTTGCATGTGATCATTTTTTAGAGGCAAAGTTGTCAAATCAAATTTTACATAATCTGATCTATAGTCCCTTACATTTCACAAAATGAATTTTTTCGTCTCTTATATTTCACAAAATGGATTTTTTCATCCCTTATTGACCATGTGTACGAATAATTTTATTTTTTAAAAAATCCATATATATATTTATTTGATTTTGCCTAAACAGACTAATTGTAGTTGTACACATAATATTCAATAGATATGTACATGGGTTTAAATCTAACAATTTTGTTTTAAATCCATATATATTTATTTGATTTCACCATGTGAATCTATTCAATATTTATGTCATTTTCTCTTTTGGTAATAATTTATTTATTGAGTTATGTAAAAAAAACTATCTAATTAATCAGTTCTAACTCAAAACCTATAGTCATGTTAATAAATTGCAATTTAAATCTGAAATTTCTACTCGCCACCTTTGAGACCAACTATTGAATTTCTTGCCTTGTAATTGTTTTAAAATTTGAAAGTGTCAATTACTTATTTTTTTTGTCATACTTTTCCTTTGTTTATTGTCTTCTTTGTTTTCAATTTTTCAGTAAAAAGGAAATGAATATGAGTGAAAAATTAATAAATTTTTTAAAACCCCTGTATATACCTATTTTAATTTCACATGAACTGTACGTTTAGGCGAACGTACAGTTCATGTGAAATTAAATAGATATATACATGAATTTTTAAAAAAATTTATTCATACATAAGATCGATAAGGGATGAAAAAATTATTTTGTAAAATGTGAGGATGAAAAAATTCATTTTTTGAAATGCGAAGGACGAGATGTGAAGGACAAAAAAATTCATTTTGTGAAATGTAAGGGATGAAAAAATTCATTTGTGAAATGCGAGGGACTATGAATCAGATTATGTAAATTTTAATTTGAAAATTTTGCCCTTGAAAAATTATCACGTATAAGGCACATGGTGGATTCCGATCAAAAATTAGTGGGATACTTAGGTGGGAACCAAATTTGACCAATGTGAATTTGTAAAAGACGTAAAAATACACTTTTAAGAATGAGGGATGAAAAAAATTATTTTGCAAAATGTGAGGGATGTTTTGAACATTTTCCAAACATTTCACTTGATGAATGAATCATAAATAACATAGAAGTTCGTTTCAAGTTTCACGTAATTTGAGATAAATCTCAACTTAAAAATAATTTTAGTAGTATAATTACACGCAAAACAGGATTGTCCTCTTCAAACGCAGATGAAAATGAATGTCAATCATTGAGTTTTGTACCTCAAATGTGTAGCCAAGAAGGCATTTTGCTTGAATTCCTTTTGAAGTAGAATGTCTTACAAAAAAAACTTCCTCATTATTTGAAATGTAGGAAAAGAAAATTGAAAGAGAAAAAAAAAATATTTGTTTCAATTGTCTCAATCTAAGGAAAGTAGGTGCATAAATAAAAGATGGCAAAAGAGGGTAGGTATGGAATATACCCATTCACCAATTATAGAACCTAAAGGACATCACTTCAGCACTCAACCAATCCTTTTCCCCCGACTGTACGTCCTTTCAAATAAATCCTTAAATTATTAGATATTTCTGTTTTCCCTTATTTTTCTCCCAACTTTTTCTACAAATATATATAAATAGACTAAAGTGGTAAATAGCACTCGAATACTGAAAATAGAATTTTTTTTTTCTTTGACACAGAATCTCTCTCACTCTTTTTCTTTCCTCGGAAAAGAAAATGTCGTCGGCGGGAATATTTGGAGGCGGTGACCGCGGAGGAGCCGGCGGCGGCACGGCACCGCAAAATTACTTCTGCTATCAATGCCAACGGACGGTAACTATCTCTCCTTCACCTTCTCCGACCTCGGAACTAGTTTGCCCTAATTGTCATGGCGGATTTCTAGAAGAATCCGAATCCGCCGACGAGCCACCATCGCCTCCCGCCGTTGGTCCTGACCTATTTTTCCCTCCTATCTTCGGAGGCGGCGGTGGTGGAGGTGGGGGCGGAGGTGGGTTTCCGGTTATTTTCTCCAGCTCTTCCGGCGGTGGTGGAGAGATTGACCTATCCGCCCTCTTCGGCGGGGCCGCGGGCTACCCTGCCCAATCTCCAAATGAGTTTAATCCTTTTGCCTTTCTCAATAATTATCTCAATAATCTCCGCGCTGGCGGGGCGAATATCCAGGTTGTGTTTGACAACCCTGGAGGTGGTGTCGGGATTGGCTTCGGCGGCGGCGGAGGACTTCCCGGGAATTTTGGGGATTATTTTGTTGGACCGGGTCTGGAGCAGTTGATTCAACAATTAGCGGAGAATGATCCGAATAGATATGGGACCCCGCCTGCGTCCAAGTCTGCTGTGGAAGGATTGCCTACCGTAAAAATGACAGAGGAGTTGTTGGCAACGGATTCTTCACAATGTGCAGTTTGTAAGGACAGCTTTTTGCTTGATGAGGAGGCAAAGCAGATGCCTTGTAAGCATATATACCATTCCGATTGTATATTACCGTGGTTGGAGTTGCATAACTCTTGCCCGGTTTGTCGGTATGAGTTGCCTACAGATGACCCTGATTATGAAAGCCGAAGAAATGGGCAGCAAGGTGGAAATAATAGTACTAGCAATGTTAGAAGTTTTGGTATTAATATTCGTACTGATGATAATTTAGGTACAGGGTCTGGTGGTTTAAGTGGTGGTGCAGTGAACCAGGAAACTCCACAGACACCGAGGACGGTAGAGAGGAGGTTTAGGATATCATTGCCATGGCTGTTCAGAGGGTTTGGATCCCCTGCAGAGACCAGCGGAAGTGGAGGAGCTGCAAATAGTGATGGAGGAAATAATGGTTCTCGTCAGAACAATAACAATAGTGGAGGGTCAAATACGGATTCTGGAGGACAAGCTAGAATGGAGGATCTTGATTGAAGTATGTGGGTGCTGTACTTTTTGAGCTCTTTATGTTTTGGTGATTGTCTTTTTACATAATTTCTTGTAATTTTGTATTCTTGTTTGTTAATATTTGAGTACATTCTGTGCTTGAATTATAGTATGAAGAACCAGCACTTGATATTTTTCAGGTCTCGAGTTGTCTTTTGAAAGGGTATTACTATACAGGATTTAGGTTATTATTCTTGATGTCAGCAGACAAAGATAGTATGATACATGGATGCTTGTTTAAAAAATTGACATTTATGGTTCAAGTGTACTTTCTGATCTTAAATGTGTTCTAGTTGAATGTATTGTCTGCTGCAGCTACAGTCCTGGATTATTTCTTTTGCTGGTTTCACAGAGTGTTCCACAAATCTGTCTCTACTACTTTCTAATGGTTGTATTCGTGCTAATTCCAGGTCTAAGGTTGAAGTCAAATGCAATTCATTCTTATGAAAAACATCTCAGAATTATAAACACATGCTTATTCTTCTGGTACATATGAGGAGCGTGTCCAAGCTTTTTTCTTTTTTTTTTTTTGTATTATTTTGTGGTGAATGATGCCAGTCGAAGTCACTTCGATTCTATTCACATAAGCTTAAGCCATACCTTTTGTAATTGCATTTGGAAGGCCGCATAACCATAATCTGTCTACTAGCCATAGTTCTTTAATATGTGTTCTTTTGATAAAGAATCTATGGGCAAGCATTTTAGGTTCTCAGGATTCTCTTTTAGCACAATTTTCATTGAGATTGAAGTTCTCGGGGATTCTTAGCCTGTAAAGGTTTGGTGTTTCAAAATATTATTTACAGAGCCATTTCAATTTCTCTAATTATCCATCATGTTAACTATAAATTATCTGATTTCTCGTAAAGTATTACGGAATCTTACTTTAAAGAGAACAGATGTATATTTACTTCATAAACTTCTGGCTTTTCTAGGTCTCAGTTGTCATTTAATTCTTTGAACTTAACAGAAAAACACCCGTTATTGGTTCTTTTGATGCATGTTTTGTTTTAGGTGCGTAGAGATGCGCTTATGAAGTTTAAAGTAGGAATATTATGTTGCTTTCATACCATGTACACAGTGACTAACATTTTCAGCTGGAAATGTTAAATATGTGTGGGTACACGATTATTGTGCAGGTATATGGAATGTTGGTGTGTCTGTGTTGGAATGATTTATTAGTGACAATACATCCATATATGCTTTTTCTTTTGGCTCTCCTTGTTTTCTTTAGTTCTTGGAGCATGTCTTCTACAAATTTGAAGGATGATATAAAAGCTAATTTGTGGTTTAAATTTCTTGCTCCAAGATTAATGTCCTGATGATTCCAAGAAGTTACCTGATGAAAAGAATGTTGTTGTTTTCCTAGGTTTATTTGACTATGCATTTCATAAATGCTAAGTATCTATATGGGGCTTACCAATGTACACTACTTGTTGTGGTTATGCATTTATGTTAGACCATTGATACAGTTCCCATGGTAATAAGGTGATCTAATTCTTGTCATCATGTTTTCATTCTTTGCATGCCCTTTACATTTAAGTCAAGTATTAGAATGTGTCTTTTATATTAGCTTTCTAAACCAATTATCAGTTTGGTGATTACTTGTGCCTTTCTGGTGCATGCTTTTCTTAGTTTCAGTGCATCTAGTGGTGAGAACTAATGGATGCTGCATTCTAGGTTGTCTCCTTGTTATTGTTTTGCAAGCATTAATTGTTGCTGAGGTGCCCATATTACATTTAAGGCAAGTATTAGAATGTGTCTTTTATATTAGCTTTCTAAACCAATTATCAGTTTGGTGATTACTTGTGCCTTTCTGGTGCATGCTTTTCTTAGTTTCAGTGCATCTAGTGGTGAGAACTAATGGATGCTGCATTCTAGGTTGTCTCCTTGTTATTGTTTTGCAAGCATTAATTGTTGCTGAGGTGCCCATATTGGACATGAGTGTTCACTTCCAGTGCTAGATGATAGAATTTACTATTGTAAACTAATTGTATGATAAGTTGGAGTTATCTGTACTTGGCATACATTATCCCAGCTTTTGCGTTTTATTGGGTAATTTCAGGTCGAAAATGATTTTTGTTAGGTGTTGTATTTGGTTTTATGGTAGTGGAGGGGCCTGGAGGGACTAAGATTTGGTGACCTCAATGTTCTTGGCTGGTTGATAAAAATAAGTTGTTTCTGTAGTTTATGGAAAAAATCTTGTTATCGCAGATCTCGCTGAAGTATTTTATTCTATGCAAAACAAAAAGGGGAAAAAGAAAAAAGATATAGTCTATGAAGTTTTATCGATTAACTATTGCAACACAATGACCGTCACTCATTGAGAAGTCATGGTTTAAGACTTCTTCAAGCTCTTTTACATGAATCCATTTTGGATTTCGAACTTGCGTGTTTCATTGGTTGTTTTGGTCACATTACAAGCTGATTCTTCTGCAACATGGTCTTGTCATGACTATATTAATTATGACCTTTTGCTTATAGACTTTTATTTCATGGCTTCCTTTGGCAGGAGCATCATCAGGGTGCTGCATGTACCGAGTTGAAAATGGATGGACTTTGTTATACAAGGGATTAGTCATAGATGCAACTTAGTGTATGATTGCATATTGTAATAATGAGGAAATCTGATGCCTTATTGTTCTCTCTTCCAAATGGACATGTTGGAATTTTTGTACATCACCTTTTTGAAATTTTTTTTGGGTACTTTTACGTTGTATGTGTCAATTTATGGACAAAACCTGCATTTAGACCGTAGATAGTAGCGGCTTCCATTTGATGCTTGCGTATAGGTATGATATGAATGTTGTTTAATGCAATGATTCTCTCGTTTCCTTCTCAAAATAATGATCGCAGGATATCTTAGGTTTAGAGCCAGCCTCTTTTATATCTTTTTCCAACGAGTCCTCTAGTGAACCACTAACAAAGGGAAAGAAAATGGCAAAATGCATTAGTGGGTTATTAGCAAACCATCATGCTACTTGTCATGCATTATTAACCAGCGTCGGGGACTCTCGGACAAAACACCCGCTTTAAAGCTTCATAGAAGATGGGAAAACGGCCTCTGCTAATGTCAGTAAGTGCATTATCAAAAAACCACCGCTTTAACGCTTAATACAAGGTACGAAGGCAGTCTCAGCTGATTAGAATTCGCAAAATATCAGTCAAAGTGCATCGCGAAAAACCTTAAATTTGTGACTCTTCAAAACTTCAAAGAAGCGGCTAGAGACAAAGCACTTCGTAGCAAAGAATTTGAGAACTTCGGAAGCAGACTATTAGGATTGACTACATTAAATGAAGTGTTGTCCTACTAGATTCTGCAAAATGAGGAGGATCCCAGAAAAATGCAGCTCCGAATGTTACAAAAAGCAAGTATAAATTAGTATTGTGCTATTTAGTTCCATCTAACGCCTTCTGTTGACTCAACACTGATCGAATATCTTTTTGTCCCGCGGAAAGAGGGGGCTGTAAATCGCCCTTTGGCTGGATGAGCAGCAACCAATATGTTTTCTACCACCTATTATTGGGCGGCTTGACTTTGTAAATTCTAACAATCCAGTTAGATGTTGTAAATGCCTCCTCCAAGTATTCAAGCTTTACGTCTTTGTTTCCGATTTCAACCCCCCTTGCTCTATCATATCTGCACAAAAAAAAAAGGGGCAATGCAATAAATTAGCAGCTCCTCGAGGACAGAAATCAGCATAAAATTATTTCAGATGCCAATCGAAGCACTTTGGTTGGGGGCAAGACCTTCCAACAACAATATGGCACACCAAAGAAAAAACTGACTTACCCAGGTGGTTTGCCAAATTCAGTTGTCAGCTCACCAAAGCGATAATATGACAGTTTGTACCTGATGGCCCAATAAACAACCATTAACAGCAAATGAGAGAGAGAGGCATTAACATCTACTTTGCTCCTCCAATCATAGTGTTATAGAAAAGAGATTCTTATACCCACTCCACAGTAATATCTTAGTTGTAAGCAAATACTTTGTCCATCCACAAAATTAGTATAAGATTTTTTTTTGGGGTATAAGAAGTTGCAGCCAAAATGATTTCATATATCAAAAAACAAAGTGAATATCCAATTTTTGGTTTCAATTCAACTTACTCTCCAAAATTTATAATCACTTATCTAGAAAAACTCCATGTATTAAATTCTTTCTCAAGTAAATTTTCTACTGATTGAAGCATATAAGACAAGTAAATGTCACAAACAAAAATAAAAGACGCTGTAAAGTCCATATTTGCACATGCAAAGCAGAAAAATCAAACAACTTACATAAGACAGTTCAACATCTTTGGAGCAGCTCCCTTATCAACACGATATTCTCCATTAACAAGGTAATCTGGCTCCTTGATTACAGGAAATACTCCTCCTCCAATTCTCACCATCCATAAAAATCTGAAATAACACCATTTATTTCAATTAATAATGGAATTATAGGGGGTAGAGGACAAATGAGAATTATATCAGTTAAAATACAAAAGACAATATCCATTAAACACAGAGAACATATCAGTTAAAACGTTGGCCATGACAGTCAAGGTGCTGATTTCTTTTCTCTTTTTTCTCTTTGATTGATGAATACCCAAGTCTAGTTCTTGATAAGCAACATGCAAGATTTTTTGACAGAATCCTACCAATAAAGATACATACGGTACCACTAAATAGGTATAAATAGAATAAAACTGCTACAGATCATTATCTTTTCCTTCTTTTAGACAAGGAGGTGGAATGATCAGGACAAGAGAAGTAGATAATCAATTTGTATACAATACAACCTTACTATGTAATGACCCCAAGCATTTAGCCAACAATTACAATAGTTGAGAGATTCTACATCCTAACAACTTAGCTGTTAAGAGATTTTCCCTTTGGTGCCAGAATACATGTATCCGATTATACAAGTAACCAAATAACAGCTTTTATCCCTACCATTCACTTAAAAATCAAGCAAGAAAAAACCAAGGAGGAAACCTGAATACTTTGTTCATTTGACACTGATACAGCACAAGATGTTGGCAAAAAGCCTAAGTGGGGGAAAGCAATCTTTCACAAGATGTTGGAAACGGGATTACTGAAAAAAAGTGGGAGAGAGAAAGAGAGAGAGCGTGTGTGTGTGTGTGTGTGTGTCTTTCACCTAATTGCAAACAACAGTGAATAGAACTTATCCTTACTTGTTAATATCATCAGAAGAGTACCCGGTCACACCTCCAAATACAACTAATACATAATCCACATCCAGTGATTGCATTATTTCATACGCTTCATCCTCATAAGATGACATTGCACGCCCCACAGTTGCGATATGTGTATTATTCCAGGTGTTATTGTCTACAATCACGGTCCTGTTTCCCATGGCAGTGATCTGATAGCCATAATCCCACCAAGACATCACCTTAGCATCTGGAGGGGTGTTCTGACGCAGCCAGAAGTATGCCTCCCGGTAATCATCAAAAATGATTCTGTTTCCATGGGCTCCCCTTGCAGCCAAGACAATCGAGGGCGAGGAATATGCCTCTGATGTAACCCAAGTACAATGGATAGCATATCTGCTCAACAAGTAAAATACACCAAGCAGCAATGCAATAGCACCATTTTTTTGGAAAGGAAGAGATTGATCAAATGACCCCTGCTTTCATGAAAGCCATGAGAATAATACTAGCAAAAAAGGAAGATATTCTGTAGGTCTTCACAAAAGCAGAAGATAAAATCAAATTCAAAGACTAAAAAGAAAACTAAATGTACTGATACCACCTTAATGTTTCAATAGCAATCCATCTATCCACATAACTTGGCATTTAACCATATAGAAGCAGCCAAAAATTTCACACGTCATGAGATTGTCTTTGGTATAATACAACTAGTTAAAAGGAAGGAATTCATGTACCAACACACCTAAAACTTCACCATACTAATGCTCCAGAAAACAAACCAAAGCAAGAAGCCTAAAATTATGGCAGATGAATATACTCTCTTGAGGTGCCAAAAACCGAAATCAACAAAATTGAGAAAAGCAGCTCTTAGAAAAGAAAAAGTAGAAAACAATAATAAATTAATGAAGACATTTTGCTTATGTTACTCGCTACTTCAAAGCTCCATCAATTATAATCCTTTTCCTTTGCTGTCAAATAAAGTTATCCACCATATCCAAACAACATAGGAACAAGGGTCTCACCTTAGACGAAGTTTTTGTGCCAGTCGTTCCTTTGGCAGAACCACTATGAGTGGTCTTGGGTTTTTCCCTGACCAGCTGAGTTAAATTCTTTATGGTGGCAGAGACTGCAATAGCACTGATAAGGCACACTGCTGGTGTAGCGACAAGAATCAAACGTACCATGACTCCAGCAAAATACATACTTGTGAGACCATACATCACTATGAAAATGGTGGCATCTGAAAGCCGTTTAAAGCAGAAGTATAGGCCTGCCGGGAAAAGGATGAGAAGTATGTGGAAATCAAACATAAAAGATGACCATGCTGTTGGCTGATGCTCAGATACAGATGCAATAATGGGAATATGATCCTTTGCATATGTTGGATCCAATAAGGAGTAAAATCGACCCGTCCAAGGGGAGATATAGCCAGATGCAGTTCCAAGTCCTAAAGCAATAGCACCCAAACCTACAGCAGAGGAAACGGTGATCCTCAAGAAAGCATGGAATAATTTTGGATCATTTAGCTGGTGCTTAACCCAATCCAAGAAGTAAAACACCTGCATAGAAGAGTTGAACTTAGCCAGGTTTTCCATGGTATGCAACTATAACTATAATAATGAAACTAGACAGTGAAAAATAACATTTAAAAACCAAATCTGAACGGAAATATGCATGTTTTATCGCTTTCATGTTTACCCAAATGTCTGAATTTACATAACTTTGTTTGATACCATACAGTTATCAATGGTGCAAAGGTACGAAAAAAATTTATCACATTGGCTATCATCCAGCTAAAATTTACACATAACATTTTGGAACTGGTCTTCTTTTGGTGGTTTGGGAGGGGATAACAGAACCAAAGAAGTGTGTTTTATGAGACAGTTGCTACAATATCATACAAACAAGTTATGGATATTGAGAAGCCATCTACTTATTGCTGCTAATTATTTACTTCCCTGACTGAACCATGAAATGTAAATGTAGCTTTATGATCACAATACTAAATTAAGGTGGTCAGTAACCAGCAAAAGTTGATCAGGTTCTACTTTACATTTTCCTGCTCTTACTCTTGTTATGCATAATATTAGCTAAATCATGACTCCTTTACATAACCAAAGAAGAAAGAATCTCCATATCTACCTGCATTAAGAAAAACACTCCCATTGCAGCCATATGTTCTCCTGACTGCACATGTTGAAAACCCACAAAACGAATCTGCATTGCAAGCAACATTCCTAGTATATACATGCAATTATAAGCCACATACAATCTCATTGAATATCTCCCCGTGACCAAGAGAACGAGTACATAGAGTGGAATCAAGTTAATTATGAACACATAACCACCCCATGCTGAAACCATATAGAAGTAGCCAAAAGCTGAGGCCAGTGCCCAAGCAAGCAACCCCGTCTTCACCGCCTTAACAAAGAGATAGAATGTAAGCAACAAAGCGAAGATAGCAACCCCCTCATTATCATATGATCCTGCAACCGACCTTGAAATGTAACCAGGGCAAATAGCAATTAATGCTGCCGCTACCAGCCCAGCACCAGAATCCCACAACTCCTTCCCAAAGAAGTAGGCGACCAAAGTAGTATTAGAGGCAAAGAATGGTGCAGTGAGCACACAGACCTCACGAATGTGCACAGCAAACCTGACATGTGATTGCAGACATCCTTAACTACATAATACAATAGAATCAAGAACATGCAGAAAAGCTTGCTGGCCTATTGTTTGAAGATTGTTGAAGAACTATTTCATACTCCATAGTACATGCTTTCTTAAGACAATGAGACTTCCAAACAGTTTACTTTCTCACACACTTTATGCTGTTTTTGGAGTTCAAAGAACAAAAGTTGGACATCAGAAACCACCAAAAAAGCCCAGAACCTGAGGAATCACACTCTGTTTAGTAAAAGAACAGCCCTAAATGGAATTCAGAGTATTGATAATTTCCACGTTCATGTCTTCTAGACATGCAGACGAACTGCATACAGCTAAAAGTCTAATTCATTTCCGTTCACCATCTCCTCCAACTACAACCTAATTTACCTAGGAATACTTTCACAATTTTAATCAAACATAAGTGTAGACAATAAAATTACTAGTAACTAACATCCAAAATCACCCTAAACAAGATTCATCTTTTTTTCATCACCCGAATTTACTAAAACACTCAAAATTAACTTGGAAAACGCACAAATTTACCATCTTTCAACCAAGAAACCCAAGCATTTTAACTCCAATCATCTACAACTGTCACAATAACAAAATTTCCACGCAATTTAAACTTAATTCCAACAATTCACTACTAGTACAGACTACACAAAAGAAAAAAAAAATCAAACAAAAGTAAAAGAGAAGAAATGTAAAAAACCTGAGGAATCTGAGGGTCCAATAGATAATGGCAGCAGTGACCATGAGACCAGGATAGAGGGTCCCACCGATGATCCTACCGAGCGGATACCAACTCTCCGAGTCAAACCAGTTCCAGAAATCGTAAAACCCATTCTGAGTCAAATACAGCGTCGTTCTGTAGTTGAAATACGGATCAAACTCGTGGATCATCGACTCATATCTCAGGACGCTGAAAAGTCGGGTAATAAACGCCAATACATACACCAACAATAAGATCGAAACCCTAATTAACAGCTCCTGCTGCTTCGTCTTCAGCTTCCAAGCCTTCATTGATAATAATGCTTGCAGCTTCGACATCGGATCTGACGCTTTCTCCATTTTCACCGTCGTCGCCACCATCCTTTTTTTAGAAAAAAAAATTTCTGAAAATTTGATCTGATGGATAATTCAATTCAGTCAGTGCTGTGGGGTTTTAAGTGAGCTGGAAGCAGAGAGGGGAGTGGCTTTTTTGGTAAATTTGGGTGATTTGGAGGGCAGTTTTATTCCATGGTTGTTTGCCTTTTTTGTTTTGTTTGTGAGTAAGTAAACCCCTACTGCTACTGTTCTCAGTCTTTTCTGCTACTGCTCCTCTGCTGACATTCGAGTTTGAGCTAAATCTCAGTAAAAGACAAATGCATTACAGGGTTGTACGTTATGGACAGGAAGTTGTACATTTGACTAGGAAGCTTGACGGGCTGGATAAAGGCAGCCCAAAAATGAGGTTTGGATCAAGTGGGAATTGGATTTTATGTTGCATTTTTGCTTTCGAAAAAGTAAAAAGGATCAACTGAAATTGGAATCCAGTCCAAAGAGGACAAAGGGCTTTTAGCTAATCTATCTGTTAGACATAATTGCTAGTTGTTGTCAATGCACCTTGAGATCGTTAATTTGACTCTAAAATTTAAGTCTAAAAATGAAGACGCAAATGAATCTAATCAAATAAAAAATTCAAGTCAAAAAATGAATCTAATCAGATCGAATATCCGGTGTTCAAACTTGTTTGATTATGTTAACGAGTTTAAAATTTTATTCAAATTTAATTTATTTATTTACCGAACTGAATTTGAACGAAAATTTTCTTTACCGACTTTAAAAATTATTAAACATAAAATATTGTTCAGCCTTGATTTGATTACTTGATAAACCAAACTCAATCGAAATGATTACTTGATAAACCAAACTCAATCGAATGAGTTATTACCAAATCGAACACAATTCGAATATCCAATAATTTGATTCATCCATCTTTCAATCCCCCGTCTAAAATCCTTTCATTTCCCCATGATCCTACTATGGGGCTTGGATTCTCAATAGGAAAAAGTTAAACAATAGAATCAAAAAGTCAGGGTGGGGATCCATCGAATATCAACAAGTGAACGAAGAATAGTGAATACTTTTCCAATTAATCATTTAAATAACCAGAAATCAATTCCTATCTCTCGATTATAACCTCTCAAATAACATGTTAGCCACTCCTATCATTGGACGAGCTTCAGAGACAGCAAATAAATGGAAAGCTCTGAGCAGTTCTGTTCAACAATCATCACCTAGAGTAAGGAAGTAGGGTAAAATCATCCTCCATCCCGAGATGCAGCTTTACTTCAAAATATCACTACCATTTACAAGGGAAAATAAATCATAAATAACATTCTTTCGTTTCCTTGAAAAGCTAATATCATAATGGAGCTTGAATATCGCCTTCACAGAACCTCCAAGAACCATCATATTGCCTCTTCAGGTAATAACGTATTTTATAAGTGCTGCAACAAGAGGAATCTTTAAGAACTATGACAGACCACAGAATACAAATATATATATATATATATATATATATAACGTATATAAAGATACAGTTATATGGTGTTCATGGTAACACGAGGAAAAATAGATGGTGGTAGACAAAAAGAAACACTTAAAATTACTCATGAAATTTAAACTGATGCAACTCTTAAAGATGCAATAGCTTGGTTTCCATTTTTCTCCTTTCTGGCACTCTTCTTTTGTTTCTATTTTATTAACTACATCATGCTTTTAGATACTAAACTTTAAGGAAAAAGATCAGTTGTAACATTGAGATATGGAAGAGCAGGACAACATAAACCCTTCAGTCCTGCTTACAGTTTACCTAAATTAAAGCATCATTAATACGGTTCATACTTATTCAATCTCACAATTTGATTCAAAAAAAGACATTTAAAATAACCTTTTGTCTTGGAACCCAGTGCACAAACAACAGTAAAAAGCAGCATGGAAAATTATAATACTGGATTCCTAGAGCTTGAACGAAATTTTAGGTGAATAGTAGATGCACCTGCTTATCTCCATGTGTTTATGCTCTGTGTGTGTGTGTGTGTGTGTGTCTCAAGAACACAGGTCTTAAACATTACTGATCACCTTAAGGCCGTTAACTTCCCAACTACCTTCCAAACAAAGCAAGTAGAAAAGAAGAACATGCAGAATTTGCATCCTGATATCTAATCAAAATACAAAAGTCCACTTGCCATACCCAAGTGATTGGCAGCTTAATTTCCAAGTACCTGTAATAATTCGGATTCTTAGGCTGAGAATCATCTACAAGTTCAGCAGCTTCCTCTAAGATTGCTTCTATCTCTGCCATTTCATTACCAGTCTCATCCGTTAAAATATCTGCCTTCAGAACTGACAATTGCAGCAAAACGAACTTCCAGAAACATGACTTGGCTTTCGCAGCATCAGCCAAAGCTTGCCACTGTTTCATATTTTGAATAAACACTGATTAACAGCAAACACAAAAAGGCCAAACTCTAAACTCAAGCCCCTGACTTTTAATTAGACTAGAATAATTTGTCCAATAGCTCATGTTTGAGATGTTAGCCTGCGGTGTTGATAGAACGATCTTGTCATCAAATTCCAGAGAGTTAGAATTAGAGAAGTTCAATCTCAAATTTCGAGCTCCGGTGTGTCCTGTCCAATACTAATGTTGCTCAACAGTAGTAATCTCTTTACTGTCAGGACGATCGTCTGCCTTGCCAGTTAAGTATTTTCAGTCTCCAGCCCATAGATAATAAATCATAGAACCAATATTAGTTCAAAGAAAGGGTCATATTATCAACTACTTCACATTATCATAATTATAATGATGCTAATAGTAACAAGCACTTAAAACATTGATAGAATAGCGTATTTGCTCATGCAATCTAACAAGGAGACCATCAAGGATTTCTGCTAAAACAAATGATGCCAAAATAGGCATATAGAGCTCACCTGACCAAGCATTGACTCATCAAGGATATCAAAGAGTCTCTGTACATGATGGTTAGGTCCTAGCGCTTCAGCTTTAATATCTTGCCATTTCCTAACTAGAGTCTCAGCTTCTTCCACAGGCATTGGCTGCCTGAGCACTCCAACACCAGAGGATGACAAACTAGCAGCAAGACAAGATTTCTGCAAACTTACAACTTCTGGCTGGGGTCTCATCTGAATTTTAAGCATTGAAAGGAACTTCTTAAGTTTCTTGGCATTCTTACTCTCATTTTCATCTAGAGAAAAATCTTTAGACCAGGAAATGGAGCTTGATGTAGTTGGTCTTTTCAATCTCCACCTAGAACTGTTTCCCATCTTGTAGAAGTGCATGTTCATCAGCCTGAAGGAAGCGTAAATAATGCAGCCCAAAGATGTAATGTACATCAACTTCCTAACAACAGTATATGGGTCTGACCAAATGTCCCAGGCTTTATTTTGGTGAGAACCCAAATTTCTTTTTAATTGAATAGGTACGTCAACATTGGCACCACTATTGGCCTTGTTTTCTGTCAGTGGACCTTGCAGATTGGCTGGGGTTAACTGCTTTACTGCTGGTCCTACATGTCGTGAAGCGTCTTTAGATGGAATGCTGTCTTCAAAAGCTTTTCGATCCAACACAAGCGGATATGTAAGTGATTGGTGGCTCATATTTGATGTTGTATGAAGAGATCTCTTAGGTTGCCTATTCCCAGAAGTTTGCTTTTCTCCTGCAAAGAAAATAACCTGTACAAAGAACATCACATCCTGGCCCTAGATATACAACTAGCATCATATGTTATCACCAAGAGACTTACAAAAGATGGTGGAGTTTCCCGAGTATCTGGGAAGACCTGAAGTACAGAATCCTTCAGCCATGTCTCCTGGCAATTTAGAAGAAAATGTGGTAAGGGATAGATACATATAGACATTCATAAAGAGAGAGGAAAGAAGAGAGGCAGAGGTGAGCTTAGAAGATAACTAGTGACACTGCAAATAGAACAACTGAAATTCTATATAACTACAATTAACACAAGAGTTTATCCAAAAGATACAAATGCCATATATTGGCAACAGCAGTTTTTTTGCATATGATAATTAAGTTTCCAATGTGATATTGCTCTCATAAGTAGTTCTGAACTGCAACAATAAAACAAGGACAAAAATGACCCCCCCTCCCCCCCGGGAATAGAACAATAATGCACTTCATAAGTAGTAGTTTTTATACATCACATGATAGCCAGAGAACGATACCAGTGATTTCCTTGAATTTGAAACATCTTTGGCTTCTTTATCTGAAAGTAACTTCCGTGCAGCAGGACTTGAGTTCAGCTCAAGCTGCCAAAGCTTTTCAGCAGCAGTTGCCTCATCACCCTGCATAATGGGACTCAAACCTTGGCTCAGTATTAGTATGACTATTAAGTACCACAAAGAAAGGGTAAAGATAAAATATACCTGATCAAGAAGAAACAAGCAGAATGCTTCCTCAAATTTCAAATCAGTCCCTTCTGACGATATCAAACATTCACATATTGTTTTCGCTTTGTGAATCTAAAAGGAAAAATAAACCACAAAACAAATAAAATATGCTAAGCTGTCAAGTCTCTGTCAACACACAATAGCATGTACTGAACATAAACACCAATAGAGTTATGTGTCCAATAGAAAAATTGTTGCTAATCGCCATAGTAGATAATTGTACAAACTAGTAGGTAGTTCCCTGGGAATGTTGCAAGACACATTTTATTTCAAGTAAAGAGAAACAACTTACCAAATCTTTCTGCTTGCTTGAAAATCCAAGGGCAATGTGAGCTATCAAAATCACGTAGAAACAATTAAAATCAATTACAACTCTTTGACTTTGTGACTCTAGAGATTTCTTATTTTTTCGTGTAAGAGCAAGATCTTCCCAGGGAAGAAGTTCCACAATCTCTGTAGCCATGAGCTTACGGAGCGCTTGATTCAAGAAAATTGGCCAGTCTTGTACCTGGCTAGAACTTTGTACATCAAGGCCCTGCCTAAGCAGTTCACGTAAAGCTGAAATGGCTCCTGACCTCCGTTCAGCATTTTCAGGTGTGTGAGGCATGCCTAGTAACTCCAGTGTGCAAGCTGGTGCAAGCTCTTCCAGAGATTCTTCAATCTAAAATAAATTTCACAAAAATGATTAAATCCTCTCCGAATCATTAATTTTGATTAGTGTGTTTTGTCGCAGATATAGAGCAGAAACTATGAGATGTTACCTCAGACAAAAGTGTCATCTTCCCAAGTGAACTTTTACTCCTAAGAAGACACTGAGCACGGGCAAGAGCTTCAAACCCTTGTGAAATCTTGTTCTTCTCAAAACAAGCTTTTGCAATCGAACACTTCAAGAAAGCACCTATATTAAGAAAAGGATGCATAACAAAACTGCCAATTTAAAAAGTAGCACACAGGTCTGACCTGTTCATTCTCTTACCTCTGCTAGTGCCATGGACAAAAGAACATCATGAATGTAAGACTTAGCATCTCCGTGCTGTAAGGCTCTCCGTCCAATATCAAGAACAATCTTATCCTCTCCAGCCTAGATCAAATAGACTGAGAAAATCAGTATTCCAGGGGAGAAAAAGGAAATCCCAACTCAGTACCTTAACTGTAGAATATTGCCGAAAATTGGCATACAGTCATTGCTCACAAAATGAATTATGTACCATAACATATGAAGAACTGAAAAAATGGAACCAAAGAATGCAATTTATTATCCAAGAGAATAAAATTACGCTCAGGTATGAACCTTTGCTGCATGCAGTTTGAGAAAGTTAAGTAAAATATGCCTGCACAATCACAATACCTCCTGAAGAAGGCAAAGAGCAGCAGGCACCCAAGACCATGGAATTCGTAGAGAAGATTTAGGTGCGACCTTTTCCTTTGTATTTCCAGCATATTCTGGTTCAAAAAGAAGCTTATCCCTCACATCCATCAAAAGATTCTGTGACATGATGGCATAAAATATTAACATGGAAATGAAGTAAGACAAATATCTAATGACGTATTCTTAGGAATCAGATCCCAAGTGCAAAAGCTTTAAGGAAAAAAATAACAGAAAATGAAAATAATCATATCACCAGTGGAAAGCCACGCACATTGAATGACCATATCAAATGATAGAAGCTCCATTAAGAAAAACTTTTTTCCAAAAGCATGTTTACTATCTTTAAGGAAAGGAAAAAGAGAAACCCTTATCTTCTATGTTTTCTCTCTAAGTTAATAGGAAAGTAAAAAAGAAAAAGGAGTACCTCATTAAACTTGCCATTTAGAAAACAGAAACTGGTAATGACTTGTAGTAACACAGAACAAATACTAACCAGAGATAGCAGACCCTACCTGACGACTAACAACAACATCTGCAGTATAGCCTTCTTCAATCTGTGCATTCCTCAGATGCATTGCAGACTTAACAATTTCATCTTTCTCTGCTTGATCAGAAACACCAAGAATCTGCAGTTTTTATAAAGTAAAATGAGTATATCAAAATGCCTCTAATTTAGACAGTAAATTGGTGCTCAATCATTTCAGCAAATTGGCGCTATAGTTTAAATTATGAAATACGGGAAAAATAGCATTTTGAAACACCTATAATCAAGTAAAACTGTAGTTTTCAGACAAATCACTACATTGGCTTATCCAATTCTACTATATCTCTTCTATTTGAACTTCATTTTTCAATTTCTCCTCCAAAATTTAACCATTCAAATAGCACCCCAATATACATTTCCAAGTTTAACCTATTAGGACTAACTCTACCTAACCATCTCCCGGAACCATCAAGCTATATGTACTCCTTACGTTTTCACCCAATTACTCTTCATTTTAACCAACAAATACCGGAAAACAAATCATCAAAATAGTTGTTGACGCAAAAAGTACTAGCCAGAGTGCTCCCGTATCTTCACTTTCTTACAGTAATAATAATAATAACAGTAAATAAGAACATAAACAATTAAAATCCACCACTTTTTTTTATTTACATTTCCAAAAATTTACATTGATAATTAAACAAAACACTGCCAGCCTACATATGAAGGGAAAAAATACACATTCATGCAGCATGAAAATAAGAAAATCAGAGAGTAGAAAAAAGTTGAAAAAGACCTGGTAACAAGTGACCGGTATTTCAGCAGAGGGAACGATGGGAGACTGAGAATGAACAACATTGATATTATTTCTACTGCCACTACCACTCTCCACAACAACCCGGAGGTCAGCATTGGCGTAAAATCTCCAACACCGACGGCGGTTAATACTCAAAATCACCAATCCTCTATTATGATTCAAAATCCCAGCTCTCAAACCAAAAATAGACGAATAATTCACCCATTTTACATCAAAATAACCGCAAAATTTCAACTTCTTCCTGATGTCATTGTGGTTGTTATCTAGCGTGTTTAAGTACGCACAGCAGCAGTGGGACGGAGTTGGGAGATGAAGAGTCGCCATGCGGAAATCTACTGTTGTTTAGTGTGTGACAGTGTGAGAGAGATTAGAGTTTTCATCACAGGAATTTGTGGATCGGTGAAGCCATTTTCGAGGATTTTTGATGGATTTGTTTTGTTGGGAGAGAAAAAGGAGAGAAGGGTTTTTGGCATTTTATGGGTTTTTCATTTTGCTTCGTTACACCCGGCACTCAACCGTTGCTCTTTTCGCTTTTTGGATTAATTAAAGATAAATAATTACTTTATTCCATTCCTACTTTATGATTTATTCACTTCAGTCATAGCATTAGTAATTAGCGGTTAATTAAAGGGCCTATTTGCAATGTCGAATACTTGATAGCCTTGAGATGTAAATTGCAATCAACTCGTGTGACAGTGATATATAAGCCCCCCCGCAGCTGGACATGGAGCACTCTTCCCGCCTTTCTGGAGTCTCTAATTATTTATTAATCTGAAAACACACACTCACACAATAGAAGGAAATCGGACGAAATGGTTCGAGGCGGAGGAGGAGCGAAGAAGGAGAAGGAAGAGAATGCGGAGGCGGAAGAAAGGAAGAGACTGAAGAAATCGGCGTTTAAAAATAATATACTTTCCGAAACGCAGGCGACGGCGAGTGGCTCCAACGCTCTGAACCCTTCGGCGACAGTGGTCAAACACCATGGCAAAGATATCATGAGGAAATCGCAGCGGAGTGGCAAGAATCGTTATTTATTCTCATTTCCTGGGCTTTTAGGTCCAATTTCTGGTGGAAAGGTTGGGGAACTCAAAGACCTCGGCACTAAGAATCCTGTTCTTTACCTCGATTTTCCCCAGGTTCGTGTGGAAGTGGAAACCATGTAGAAAATTCACAATCATCACGGATTAGCTGGTGATTTCCGATTTTAGTTGTTTGAGTATGAATCAAGAGATTGATAGATAAATGATCAAATAGGATGTATGGTCAAAATTAGGACATGTACGTATTTATGCACAGAGTTTGGTTATATAAGGTCTTGAAGACAGATTTGTAGAAGTTAGTTCTTTTTCTGCACAATTATGATATTTAAGCTCTAATTACATAAACGAGGCAAAATGTATTACTAGTAGGGGAGAACCCCGAAAAAAGCATAAATAGGAAAATGGTTGTTAACTAGTTTTGCAAAATCAGTTGTTAATTGTTCTGGAGTATAGTCATACATTTATTTGTTAATTTTCTCGGATAGTTGAAGAGAGTAATAGGAAAGTGAGGTGCAAACAACTTCTTGATCATAGATTCCCTTTGAATTGGAATTGTTTTTCTGTTTCCCTTTGTTTCCACCATTGGAAATGAATTTGAAATTACGGTGGTATTTTTATGATGTGTAGGGTCAAATGAAGTTATTTGGTACAATTGTGTATCCAAAGAACAGGTACCTGACTCTTCAATTCTCGAAAACTGGAAAGAATGTGACATGTGAAGACTACTTTGATAACATGGTCAGTGTTTTTTTCTTATGTTGAGTGATTTTTGACACCTAAGATGCTCGATTCCTCTTACCCAGAAATTTGTTTTACCTGATTCAGAAAGGAAGATATCTTGAATTGCCCTAAGTTTTGGTTCTCAACCATCATTGTCCTTTAAGCTACTGTGAGACACAGACTTTCTTCTCTGATGATTCAATTCTTCCACTGGGTTTACCATGTGGTGGAAACCATTAACTCCACATGCATATGTATTTACATGAGAATAAAGATGGTTAAATGTCTCAAGAACACTGATATATTTTATTGTGAATCAGCTCAACTCATTTTTGATAGTGATATGGTAAATTATGCTGACTAAATCAGTGAAATGTGATTAACAATTGGACCTTCAACCTCTCCTTTGGTTGCTGATTCTCACATCATTTAAGGGGTTTTTTCCACTATCCTTTTAAGAGATGGATCCTTGTATTTATAATGTGGGATCTTTTGTGTGCCATAATCATGGAAGCTAGGCCAACCATTAGCTGTCAAGGAAATACTCTAAAAGAAGTTGTAGATATGTGAGCTTTCTTACTTTCATTTTGTTGGTTTTTTGGGGCATAAACTAAGAAACAACACCTTAGTGTTGCAAAAAAAGCTTATAAGAGACTTGTATTGAAGGTAGAAAATGAGCTTATGTTCTACATTCATCAACTCACTATTTATAGTGATTACATGAAACAAACTAGCAAAATATCCAACTAACAATTATCCTAAAAATCTCAACAAAATATAATCTTCTACTACTAGCAAATCTTAGCTAATATATTTGTTAACAACCCAACATGATCTTTGGTTAACAAATATCCTTATTTTCTAATAACTAAATTATTTTGATATCAAACCCAATCTGATAAAATCTGTAGGAAAAGTTGGCATATCTCAACACATTCTCTCTCTGCCCCATTGTCTACTTAATGAAATTTATTATGTGAAGACATTACTGTATTTACTTTTTCTGATTTTTTTATCAGATTGACAATTTTTTTCTTGTCTGACTGTTCTAGTTCTGATACAGAATATAAATGTTGCCAAATTTGACATATTTGGTCTTGTCATTATCTCTTTCTAATATTGCTTCTCTTGTGCTCTGGGTGAAGTGAGTTTTCAATAAATACCTAGAAATTTCCCACAATATTGTGAGGTTTTGTCTTAAATTTGTGATTGCATATTTCTTGCTTTTCCAGATTGTGTTCTCTGATGCTTGGTGGATTGGGAAAAAGGATGAAAATCCTGAAGAAGTACGTCTAGAATTTCCAAAGGAGATGGATGTGGTTAGTCCACTGTAAAGCTTTTTGACTTGCTGTGCTTTTATCTGCTAACTTTGTAATGATGGTTTGATGAGTATGTTAGAATTTATGATATCTTTCTATTATTTGTAGATAACATTAAAGGATATCCCATATGTTTTCTTTCTCCCAGGAACAGGTGCAAAACTATGATTTTAAAGGTGGTGCAGGTGGGCCAAGTGATAGCAAGCGAGATAGCATTAAAACAGCTAAGAAAGTTGTTGAGCAGCCATCTCCTAAATTTGAGCTGGAAGAAGATTCCTCTGACAGTCAAAATAAACCTAAAGAAGTTCTTGAACTCACTCCATCTCGGAAGTCAGCTAGGACAGATTCCTCTGACAGTCAAAATAAACCTAAAGAAGTTCTTGAACTCACTCCATCTCGGAAGTCAGCTAGGACAGCAGGAAAGACATTCAAGTACATTTCAATGCTTTTGCTTTCTAACTTAAATGTGTCAACATGCTGCTTTAACAAGTATTTTGTGTCTTGTCTGCAAAACAAGAAACAAGTACATTAATGTTGAACTATTAATTTGTCAAATGAAATTGCCTGGATACTGTAGACAGACTATAGCATGTTGAAAATTTTTAAAACTAGGTGTCTTGAAAAGAAATAGAGTCACCAATGAGATGTATAGTCTTAATCTTTTGTTATTATACAGTATAAACATGCAAAATGGTGTTTGTTTGTTAACTCTTAATGAGTGACATAAAGGCACTTATTCCTAAATATAGGTGAGAGCGTTTGGCTAATTATTTTAGTATTTTGGCCGTTTTCCCCATATTTTCCTTACAGGTGCATGAAGCTTTAATTTCAGTAATATGTTCTGAATTTTGGCATTTTGATTGATGTATGTCTGTCCCTATTGCTGTTTTGTGGATACTGTTATTTATGAAAGTTCCCCACTTAGATTTGACTCTTGTGTATCAGAATAATCTTCTAGATTTCACTGTCAAGTGTATGTCTTGAACCTATCAAGGGAGGAACTTGTGACGTCATATTAACAAATACCAAAAGACAAAGAAATATTGATTGTACTAGTGATGTAATTCCCCAACTAGTAATATTACTGGCAGATGGATGACAAAATTAAAATGACAAGAAATACATGGACTCAATTCTTTTATTTTAACATTTCTCCAAATGATTAAAATTTATTCTGTATTGTTGAACTGACAGGCACTGTCTCTTTTCTACTTTGGTCTGCTATGTTCCACTATGAGCTTGTGTTGGATTCTTCAGGTTTAATTGCTCAATAATGGATGGTTAGCTACTTTATTGGCTGCTAACAAAACACTGTCTAGGTTTGCTGAGTCTTCTTCTGGAGATGACATTGCTGATGGTTTGGGGGAGACCTCAGGAGATGATTTTGTTAATAACGGGCTAGAAAGCTCAGAAGGAGACGGGGACAACGTTGCTAAAGATATCCTTCTAAATTCATTGACCTTGTTAGTTCTTGTTACTTTGATGACATTCCTCTATTTATAAGTAGATTAAGCTTTTTTTGTTGTTTGTTTTCATCGCATGAGCTGTCTTTTCACCTGCAATCTACTTACTTCCTTAAGAATGTAAACAGACTGGAAAGTCTTGCCATGTGGTACTTGACCTTGATAAGGAAGATGCTGAAACAGATGCTCCAGTCCCAAAGAAAAGAAAACAAAGTGCAAAATCAGCTTCAAAAACTAAAGAGCTTGCTCATAGTAATCAGGGTTCTCTGGTTCAAAAGACCATATCATCCTTATTCAAGAAAGCAGGGGAAAAGGTATGGTGTTCAAGTTTTGTTGATATTCCAGGTTTGTATCATGGGAATTATTGATAGACCACATGATTGATGAGTACACTTCTACTTATCAAGGCATACATGCTGTGGAAAAGGCTTTCTGTGGAATGCCTAAATAATTTTCTTGTGCTGTAGCTTCTCTCATACCAATAATTGGTACAGTTTTACAAATCTAAGCTGCTTAAAGGGACATTTTTTTTAGTAGCTGGAAACCACTTTTATTTTAATCAATGTTGACATCCTTGGTAGAACTTTTTCTGTTTGTTCTGAATTTGGACGTCATGATGTTCTCTTTGGGTTTCTATAATACGTCACCTACTTGTTGAGTCCTGTTTCTTTGTATCTAAAAAAGCGAACGTTTGCCTCTTGCATTTTCAGCATCAGAACAGTTAGAAGAAAAGTAATTTGCTTTAGGAAATAACTTGCTATATTTTTTTTAGACAGCTACTTCCTTAGACAACTACTTCCTCTTTGATTTTACTTGGTTTTGTTTATTCTGCCACTTTGTAATGTAATTGGATCTCTGAAAGTACCTGTCCAAACTATTAGTCTTTAGGTTTCAATGAATTTTTGCGGCATGCATATAACCTGCAGTAATAAGGACTATAGGACAAGTTAATTCTTTATAGGGGTTTATGAAGATGAACCCATCATGGCCACTGATTAGGAACAGTGGAATGATTAATATTGTTGATGAATACTTATGGAGGTACAAACCGTAGTGTCCACTTTGTGTTGAATGGTGAGCATCTGCCCTGATATCCTGAATAGCTAACACTAGAAAGTAAGAGTTAAAGAATGAGTTCGGTTGAGTTGTTGCCTACAAAAGTTTCCCTTATATTTAACTTTGTAGTTTTTCAGTATCTTATACTTCCCCATGAAACTGTGTGAATGATCAGCTAGTTTGGGAAATCTAAGAAGATATCACATGGGAGACCTTATAAGGATATCAAAGTTGACTTGGCAGAATTTGTAGTGTGTGATATTATTCTCTTAATAAAATAGGAAAGGGCTATTGTGGTGCTTTTCCCTAACTTGACTTAAATTATATTCTTTGTATTCAGCAAACTGTATGTTTTTCATGCTTTAGAGCAAGCTTAGTTATGAAAATGACGTTTTCTCTTCCACAGGTTGTGCATACAGATGCGAATGAGAAGATAGATAATGTCAAGGTGAGATCTCTTTCTATCTTTTTTTTAAAGAGAATTTCAGAAAGTTTCTTAATTATCTTCTTGGCATCAAAATACCTGTTATTGCTGTTTTGATTGTAACCAGTTTTAAATTTGAATTGTTATAACGTAGCAATGGTTGTGTTGCAGATTTCCAGGCCCTCGAAAAAGGGGAAACCAGTAGGCAAAAGAAAAGATGGTTAGTTAAGCACTTCCACTCCAGTCAAACATTTTGAGTCATATATTGAGCATCAACTTGCTCTTAATGTTCTCCAGGTTTCTTAATATGTTGCAATATACTTACAGAATCTCAAGGTTAATTACTGTGGTGTTTTATGCTGTCCTAAATGCCCAGTAATAGCTTATTCGTATCATGTCATTAGTGGCTTAAAGTGTTGTAGATACCATTGCATAACCAACATATTTAGTTTGGTATCCTGTTGAATTAATGATCTGTTTGCTCTTAACATGACCTTTTGTTCTTAACATGACCTTTTGTAGCATCGGTCTTTCAAAATTCCTGAATTTTACATTATATTGATAGTTAAGTTTTTATTTACTACTGATTTACAGAGCTATTCATTTTTCTTTAGACTTTTATGCAGTCAAAATTCAATAGGTTACTATAGTGTATGGATAGGGTTTCTAAACTTGATTAGATAAAGTGCACTTGTCAAAATCTTTGTACGGCGATAAATCATTTTAATTATTAAAAATACATGTGTTACTTAGAACTCTTGATTAATGACTCAAATGGTGCACAAGTTTTGATGAGGAGAAAGAGAGGGCGGAGTGGAGAAGAGGACGAGGGTGAGGAATATTATAGGATGTAACCCTCTTTCTTAATGCTTGATGATCTGTATTTTTGCATCACATTGTTACAGGCAGCCAGTTATATGGTTTCTTTATCTGGTTAATGGACCTCATATGTAATTTCCATGTTATGTTGCAAGATGGATCATCCAGATTGATGTCCGATCATTTTAAAACTTTCTAGTTATGCTTCGTGGTCAATTAAACAATGTTGTTGAAGACGATTGAAAACTTTTTCTTAACTGAGCTCATTTGCATTTTCGTTTCCCTCTGCCTTAATGTAGGAACAGAAAGTTCAGCAAGGAAGAAAAAAATGAAGGTTCAGGTTTGCCTCATTGCCTGTTCCTTTCAGCTTTTTACGTCAGAGATATAAACCGAATCTATGTGTAATTTGTGTTAACTGTTTCAAGTGATATGACCATAAATTCGTAATCTGTATATTCTGATCTGCTTATTTGGTAGATATTGTAGAAGGATGTTACCTTGTGGTTTTCTCTAATATGGGTAGATACTAAGAAGTTGAAAGACTGGGAAGTGTTTACTCTTTCAGTAATTTTCTATTGTGGTTCTTGACATACAATACATGGACATGTTTTCATGGTCTACATCCTTTAAGTTGAAATAAACAATGCTGTACATGTAATTATAGACTGCAAGTTCATTTCTGCTATAACCTATAGCACTAATTTGTAATGACTATCACCAGATGTTGTGAAGACTGAACCAGATAGATGTTAGCCTGACGACTAAGATGAACTTATGGAAGAAATTCATTTGAAGTGGAGAACCTTGGTGTTTTTGAAAAAATGTTTGTTGCTGTAGTGTCGTGAGGTTGAATTTCTCTCTCCAGTTGTGTCAAATGACCTTGCCAGATGTGTATTCATCTTTAGGGTGACACTGAATTTTAAACCCGTACAAGTTATATGATATGTATAACTTAGTGGGGTTGTAAAACCTGTATGATATTGTAAGATATGTATGTTATGCATCAAAATTCCCTCTCCTTGGGTATCATCTGCTTCTATGATGAGTGGAGTACATCTACTTTTGATGTTTTTACATGACCTAAGTGTTTTTACATATAAAATTGTTGTACAAGCGATGACATTTTGTCTTTGACACCAATCAGTTTTGTTTTTGCACTTTGTAGGTTGAAGATGATGATATTGAGGAGTTCACTAGCACATCGCAGGTGAGATATGTTGATGCAGTTTAACTGCATAATCTGAGTTAGGTAACGTTGATGATAGTTCACAAGTTGGTCAAATTGTTCGTTTTAGTTAAACAACTGTTGCACTAGTAAAAATTTGCAGATAAAGGGATTTGGAATCTATAACATAAATTAGCTGCAATCTGTTTATCATTTACAACTCATGCTAACTCAATGTGTAACAAACTGTTTTTAGGATATGATTTCAAGTGATGAAGACTGGACTACTTAACAACAGTGATGTGATGACAGCCGCAGTAGTTGTCAAAACAAATTTCTACTCGGATATAAGTCGATCTGTGAATTCCCCCAGTTGAATGTCCAAGAAATATGAGATTGCTTACTTCTCTTGGTGATGGATTAATTGGTAATGCTTGATGTCAATTCTTTTTCTTTCATTGTAAGGAATGTAATGCAGAATCGAGAAAAATGATAGGAGGTTGGCGCAGAATTTGTGACTCCTTCTTCTTTTTATTTGCCATGTAGGATAGTTCATAGAAGCTTCAAAAGCTATTGGTTGTATACTTGAGTAGTAGTTCAATTTGGATACTTGAAATGATCCTGCGAGGAAATTCTTGCGACTCCTATTAAAAGAAAGATGCTAGATCGGCCCTTTTATTTAACCCAACTTTTGTTGAGTTGATCTGTTTCTCATCTCTGCTCGACCCGCAAGTTCTCATCTCAATTCAGGGAACAGTGTGCACGAAAGAATATATGCAGAAAGGTTCACAAACAGGGAAACATCTCATCTCTGATATTCCCATTAAATACTGCTTTATTACATCGTCTTGCTATAACCATGGAAACGAAGAGGAAAAAATGAAAAAAAAAAAAACAACAAAGAGAAAGAAGGGAAAGATGGGAAGAATGTACATAGACCTTTACTTAATTCAACTGGCATTTGCAGTCCTTAAAGTGCATTTCAGATTAAGGCTTAGGAGCCAAAAACTTATCTACCCTACTGTTTGTGCCCTTGGACAGGAACTTCATGCAGATAGGAGGTTTCACCCCAGCCAGAGCTAATATAGAATTAGGCAGAGTCCATATGCCGTCTCCACAAATCAAGCCTGAAGCCACAGCCGGTGCAAAAGCATCAGCCTTAGCCCTGTTTATCCTTTGCCAGATGTAGAGAATTAGGCTCCCAACACACATGTCAATGGCAAAATATGAACCCAAGTAAAATGGAATTGCCATCGCCATTGGGAGTGGAATATACCTTCCACGTTTCTTTCCCACAGCATCCCTAATCATGTTGATGAGAATTGATGCACAAAAGAATGCATAACACAGTTTGAGGCAATTTTTTGGCAGGGCTGAAAAGCCTTCAACTCCGAGTTTAGCCATGTTATAGTAGACAGTGGCAAAGGGAGCCGGATACGTGGTTCCGGTCACACCAAGATCCGGAAAAGCCTTGTAAAAGATCCAGAAGACACAAGGCGCTACCACACATCCCATTGCAGTGCCAATCACTTGGCTCACAAACATGGAACGCGGTGAAGCCAAGGTCAAATATCCGGTCTTAAAATCCTGCATTAGGTCAGAAGCTGTGGAAACAATGTTCATCATGACTCCACATGCTGCCAAACCAGCTAAAACTCCACCATGTGAAGTACCGGCCCAAGCTCCAATGGTGAAGATGGCTAGCTTTCCGTACGTTGATGCAAGTGACCAGTCGGTGAGCCCACAACCAAATGCATTGCAGAATGCAAGCACTGGTGCAAAGGTGTAGATAAGTATAATGTGGTACCATTTTAACTGGTGGAAGATGTGAGGAAGTGTTAGAGTTGAGATGACAGCAATGGCAATGTAACCTCCACAAGCAAACCAGGTTGGTATTTGATCCTTCAGAAAGAGTCGAGTGCGGCGCTGGTCGTCAAAAGAAAGAGGTTTGTTGGTAGGAGATGGACTGTCAACAGTTGGGATATGCATGCTAGCACTTCGGTCGTGAATTTTGGTAACTAAACCGGCTACAGTTCGGCTCAGCACCTTGAAAAAGTTGTAGAGGCCATCACCAAGTATCATAGCAATGCCGATAAACACCTATAGGATAACTCAAATATCAGTGAAGAAGAGAGACAACTGAATAACAGGTAATGTAACACATACTTCCAGCAGAGCACCTTGTAACCTTGGAGTCCCTGAAGATTGTTGTGGCTTAGGCCTGCTGGGTACCAATCCCCCTCCCTCGTTTCTATCAGAGGCCACATTAGACCCCAAGAGAGAATTCCTCCAACCAGCACAGATACGTTTATGATGTGAGGGCAAATCATTCCCACGCCAACATAGGTTGCAGAAAAGTCGAAGTAAAACCTGGAAATGCAAAATTACCACTTGAGCTAATGATGAATGGCTTTTATTGTTTCTTGTTGCCCCCCCCCCCTCCAAAAAACCCGGCCCAACAAAAACCCCCTCATGGCCTCATCCTGGTCATTTTCTGTATTTTACTTTGCTGACTAGCAATAGAGAATCTGTGGTTTGGGTTATATGAGAAAGAGGATCATGCGTTTACTTGTAGTTATATGCTTTTAAACCAAATGTTGGGAAGCTTGCAAATCCACAGTCATCACCAGCAGTAAAGAACCACTGGAAGAAACCCCACAAGAAGCTGAAGGAGAAGAACTTGCCCAGCTCTCTTACTTGTTTCCTGTAAGATCAAGCAAAGTTTGAAAGAAGTTGTTGAGAGGTATTTCTTCCATTATGATTTGATTAGAAGATCAATCTAGGATTCTAGGTAGCATCTTACTTAGCCAGCTTGGCCCCTTCAGGAGTGTGGAAGCTGTTAATAAGATGTGCTGTGGCGGTACCACTTGGATATGTCAATTTGAAGTCTATAATCATGATCTGCAGACAAACAGGTAATTCAAGATTTGGGACTACATGTTTCTGAGGATATATAGTTAATAATGAGTTATATTTCACACTTCTTAATTTAGTGGATGGGGCTTTTTGAAATGAGTAAAGGATCATGTTTGCTTCCTTGGTGATCTGGCATAAACTAACATGTTTCTCTCAGCTAACTGTGGTTGCAATCACCATTGATCAGGGCATGATTTTAATGTTATGTGGTTTAAAGTCACAAGTCTTCTTATCTTCCTCCTCCTAAATATGTGGATGGAGGAAAGGAAAGGAGATGAATCAGCTAGCCAGGTGAAATATTCTACATGATCTGTCCTTGCTACTTTAACCAATTTAGAGTCGCTGGAATTCATACAAAACCATACCTTGCGTAAAGGCACCACTGAGAAGAGGCCAAGGAAGCTAACTACAAAAAGAAACCCAATCATCCATCCCAATGTTGGGTTTTTGTATTGGAATCCAGCTTTGCCTTCTTCTGACTGCTTAATTACACGTTCGCTCATGGCAAACAGGTAACTGCCAAAACCTCCTGCGCATAATCATCCCGAATGATAAAATTTTTCAGGCCAAAGTCCCAATACATAATTTGATGATGTCTATGCCCTGAATTTAATTTTGTAGCTTATAATGTGTTCCTCGCTAGGCCTATCGCAGGCAATGGTGTGCAAAAAGAATGCCTAAAGAAACTCTTCGTGCTTGAAGAGTCATGAAATTCGACACTTGATTATCTATCTAAGAGAAACAACTGATTTAGTACATCAACATCTCTCTTATTTCACTAGCAGAAAAAGCTTTTGTTAACTCTGATTTACGCAATAGGAATTTTGATCTGTAAGCTACCACTGTTCTAAATAGTGGAGCCAAGACTTTTGTCCAGTTTGTGAATTTTTAGTGCAACTAAATATTTCTTATAAATTTAATAGGAATGAAACAATTTATTCAATATTGCAAAAAAATAAAATTGTGTATAGGTTGTGATTTATTATCTGCAGTAGTTATCAAGTCATTTAATAGTATAAAATTATAGTGGTTAATATTATGCATAAAACTATAAGATGTATATTTTGATATATATATATATATATATAATAGACAATTAATGTATATTTAGTCAAACTATCAAATGCATATTTAGTTTGCTTGTAATTCATATGTTGGACATCTAAGTGGACCTCAATATTAAGTAAATAGGATTTGTTCGACAGGAAATACCAAGAGTGCTTTGTTTTGCTTCAAGATTCCATGAGAGGATAACTGTAAAAAATTTTAATAGTTTCGTGGGGTAATTGTGGAACTAGATAGAATATTTTAAGGGCAAGTGTGGGGACAATTACACAAATTTTAAACTTTGTATAAGTTATCCTATAGTTTTTCAAAAATTGAGTGAAAGCCCCCTGATTTTGATAAAAAAATATTATAATTTCATAAAAATTTATACTAATGACAGAAAACTACGTTTGGATTGCATTTTCATGGAAAAATTACTGTAACGATTTGATGTATGCGAGAGAAAAAAGTAATAGGAAAATGTGATTACGGAAAACGACATAATTTTTCGACGAAAAACAGCAATCCAAACAAGGCGTCATCAGTCATACACAAATATTAAAGAATAGATAAATACAGACGCGAAGAACATAGAAAAATTACCCGATAAGCCAAAAAAATATGTTAAAATACCAACTTTGTTAATATAACCACAGAGTATATATGCTTAAGTGCTCAACTCCTTTACTTTTTCTCAGAGAAGTGCGTCCTGCTTTTAATATTCTTTTACGTACGATATAATAGAGCATTATTAACGGAGATACCCACCAGCACATGAGACTAAAGACTACATGACAGGATTATTAACATAAAAATCCAAAAAACAGAGAGTTCCGAAAGAGACTTTGTACTATTCTTTTATTATTTCTGACGCACGAAATCAGATAATATCATTACGAGGATTTGGATCTTATGTCTAGCAAGACAGGCTCAACCGTTAAACATGTTGATGATCATGCAATTGCGTGGAAGTGTATAATAAATACTCTTTATCACAGCAGAAGATCCTGCTAATAATTCACTAACACTTATGGCCACAAGAAGGGGTAAAAAAAAAGGATGATTTCAGAGTCGAAAGAAATTAGCAGAAAATTTGCAGAAGAAATGCTCCAATACAGATTAAAATCTTTTTGTTAATGTGAAGGAAGGCGGAAGAATTTCCAACACACTAACCGTATAAACTTGTAGTACAGCTTCAGTGGGAGGATGGAGAAACGTACCGCTAAATGCTATGCCAGAGGCAGCAACAACACAAGTTTGAATGACTGTGTTTTCTTGACGGGTGAAGGGCTGCTTCAGTAATCCAGATTTTTCAAGTAATGTTGTCCAAGTCTTGATAAAGAAGAAGCCCAGAAGTCCAGCTGAGACGTTGAGGGATGGTATGATACCTGTGGTGAGATTGAGCTTCATGACTATGAAGCAGAACATCACTGACATGAAAAAACTCACCACAAATGCTCTCACCGTCAGCTGCTTTTTCCATGAGGGCACTTCTTTGTTCTCAAATATCTTCTCTACCGACATTTCTTCTGCTCCTTGATCATTCTTTTCTTTCTTGATATTACTCGTCTCCAAACTCATTTGTTCTTCTGATTCAATTCCATTCTCTGCAATATTCTTTTCCCTTCCATTCAACTCCATTCTCTCTATTCCTCTCTTTCTTGAGTTTGGAATCTGAGGATGAGACTGATGAAGTTCTCTCTATCATACAACTGAAGTACTACT